TCAGCCACAGTTTCGACCTCACATGATATCGTCGATAGCTTTTGCTCAGCTTGCGACTCAATAGGGGTTTCATCATCACCACCCCCCTCTACAGGAGAATCAACTTCCGTAGCTGGAGTAGCAACTTCATAAACCATCTTTGTAGTATAGTCACCCAGCGGTTGTCGAGGTTGTTGAACATCAGACCCAGTAGATTTCCCACTATCCATAGAATTTTTCATAGATGTAATAAGAGACCACGACTTACGACAGAGCCAAGATACATGCCCACCCTGGCCACATCGCTTACACTTCAATGAACTTCTTGACACAGGGCAGGAAGCAGCACGATGACCCTCCTTACCACAGTTAAAACACCTATTAGACTTCATAACATAGTCTGCAGTGCACATTGAAGAGATGTGACCAGCTTTTCCACATCTTAAACATACAGGCCTCGAGAGTGACTCAGAGTATGGAGTCTTACTCTGTTGGGTAGTAACTACCGTCTTCTGGTGACCCTTATCTTGCTTCTTATTTTGCATCGACACAGTAGGATTCACCAGTTTCTGAGCATCATTAGTCTCCACCAAGTTGATGTTGGCATTAGAATACCCAGTAGTCTTGTCAGATTTCCAAACAGCATTGTAATTTCTGACATAAGTCTCATACTGTTTCTTATCCAAAGGATTTGAAAAGTACTCAGTAACCCTGGTTACCAAAGCATCATAATTGAGACGACGATCAAAATGTTCACGCAGGAACTGTACATCAGCTTCTGGCAACGCTGATCTCATCCGAGTCATCTTAGTAGCATTTACAATAGTAGTAGATGTCTCAATCTCGACACTAAAAAAGATACTCTGTAACCAAAACAGGAACTCAGGTAGAGATTCCTTAACATTCTTCTTAAGAGCTTCCATCTTATCACTCTCAGCCTCTGGAGCATACTCAGAACGAAATTGTTCATCGAACAAATTCCATAGAGTATAGAGTAGTTCAACATGGTCACCGTCCAGGAAGTTCTCTGCACCCAGGCGGTTCATCATCTTGTCGTTGAGCTGCTCCTCCAGACATTCTAACATATATAATATATGAACACGAGCAATATTGAGAGACGCTTTATTCAAGTGCTCAATAATCTCACGCTCCACAGTAGCCCAAGATCTCTTATCAGTAGCACCCTTGTACGGACCACTACGCAGTTTCTTCACCTGTGATACCAATTTCGCAGAAGCTTGGTCAACACGGTCTTTAACGAAGTCAAGTTGGCCCAGAGTTAGTTCTTCGTCAGTACCACTCACTGGTAGATCAGAAGGTCTCTCACGTTGCCATGACGGTGGTAGTGACCAAAAGGAAGCCAGATATCCTCTCTTGGGCATACGATAACCCAAATTATGCCTAGCTTGAGCTTTCACCGGATTCTCAGTAGCAATATTCATAAACCTTGAACCCAGCGAAACCACAGTAGGCACTCTCTTCGAATCAGTAGTCATAGGTGGTTGCCCAAATCTAGGACCCTCATCCATAGGGGACTTAGTATATGGACTACCTTGTAACCTCGGGTCTGCCTTATATACAGACGCAGGCTTTCTTGCAGAACTCAATCTAGGAACCTGCCAGTGTTCATCAGAAACATTGGCATCAACGTTGTCAATCCCAGGATATCTTTGAGAAGGTCCACTATATTTGGCCTTACTGACTTCTGGAGCCTTGACACGCTGAGTAACAAACTTATCAGTAGGCATACCTCCCGCAAAGGATACAGTATCATTAGCAGATTCTTTACGAGGAGTACCCACAGAAGGAGTGTACGCTGGTAGCCTTGATTCCATTATAGACCCACCAGTAACACCTTTTATACTGTTACCGATATTGTCAATTCCAGATGACAGAGAGTCTAACCGAGAAAAGATAACAGCATTATCTCTTCTTGCGATGACTTCTGACTCTGTAGTTGTACCGATAACCTA